GGACATGGTCTTGACTGGGCGTCAGCTGTGCATCACGTAAGATCAGGCTGGCGCCTCAGTAAGGACGGCAATTGGTTCATGTAATCTGCACGACGCCTTCTGCATGGACGATGTCATGCAGCTTCGACGGCCAACGCGGGCTGTTCTCCGGGTGTGCATTTCGGAATGTTGTCTTTCTAGACGGATTCTCTGGACGGTGCGTACGGTGCATGAGGCTTTTGAGGCTACTAGCTTGGTATCGTATCCTTGCGTCAGCATAGTCTCAACCAGAAGACGCTTTGCAGCATCCAGTTGCGGCGCCATGGTCGTGGCTTTTGGGAAGGTGGAAGACGACGAGGAACGGAGGAACAACAGACTGAACAGCAGATGGGTGCTGCGCACCTTTTGGCCAAGGTGGCCCCTGAACGGATTACCAGCGGGGTTGTGGTCAGCATCCATTTCTGGCTCTGTTAGTGATTGTTCCTTGAGAACTTCGACCCTACAGGGGTAATCTGCCAAGCGGCATAAGCCACAGGCCCACCCCACCACCACTAAAGATGTTAACTAAACTTTCAGCGACGCTTAATTCGCCTTCTACTGTACAAACGGTAATACTTGTAGCTGATAGAGACCACCTGAGTAGCTCAAAGTCGGTTGAACCGACATTTTCGGCAAGCACGAATACGGCATTGTGCGCATTCATAAATATACAGGGGTAATGAACTGTGGCACTCCTCACATCGGTGAGTGGTCGTCTGAATCGCGAAGCCTACCCCAAGCGGGCCTTCCTCAGGGGTCGCCATTGTCTCCGATACTGTTCCTCTTCTTCAACGCAGATCTAGTGCAGAGACGCATTGACAGCAACGGAGGAGCGATGGCCTTTGTCGACGACTTTACAGCTTGGGTCACGGGGAAGACGGCTCAAGATAACCGCAAAGGCATCGAATCGATCATACGAGACGCCATCGATTGGGAAAGGAGGAGCGGCGCGACGTTCGAGGCCGAGAAGACGGCCATCATCCACTTTACCCGCAATAACCACAAGTCTGACCCGGAACCGTACATCATCAAAGGACGACCCGTTCAACCGAAGAATCACACCAAGATCCTGGGGGTCATCATCGACACTCGACTTAAGTACAAGGAGCACATAGCGAGGGCATCGTCAAAGGGCCTCAAAGCAGCTCTCGAACTACAGCGACTTAGGGGCCTGTCGCCGGCAACAGCGCGACAGCTGTTTACAGCAACAGTCGCACCGGTAGTGGACTACGCTTCGAACGTGTGGATGCACCGGTACAAGGACAAACTCATGGGACCGATCAACAGAGTACAGAGGGTATCGGCCAAGGCGATCGTCGGCACGTTTCTCACCGTTGCGGCGAGTGTAGCAGAAGCCGAGGCCCACATACCCACGGCGAAAGAGCGCTTCTGGAGGAAAGCAGTCAAGATGTGGACGGACATCCACACGCTACCGGAGACGAATCCCCTCCGTAGGATGACGTCCAAGATGCGGAAGTTCCGGAATGCCCACCGCTCGCCGCTCTTTCAAGTGGCCGAGGCTCTGAAGGACATACCGATGGAAAGGATCGAAACCGTCAACGCGCTTACGCTGCTACCATGGGAAGACAGACTTCAAGTCAAAATCGGCGAGGAAGAGACAACAGTGCTCGAGACAACGGTTCTCGAGACAACCAGCACGGTTCGTGTGGCGGTCAGCAGCTCAGTGAGAGGGGGCATGGTAGGTATCGGCGGTGCCGTTCAGAAACGGCCGGGGTTGCAAGCCGACCCCGAACCTGAGCATTTCTCCTTCACATTAGGCTTAAGGTCAGAACAGAATCCCTACAGCGCAGAACTAGCAGCGATGGCATATGCGCTGAGGCGATTGCTGCGAGGGGTCACAGGGGAGAGGATCACGTTGGTGACGAGCAACAAAGGGGCAGCTCTCTCACTCAAACGGCCTCACCAGCAATCCGGACAAGCGTATATCCGCAGTGTGTACG